TTTGAAAAGAGTTTTGAATTATGTGTTTGGTTATGAGTTTTGAAAAGTAATGATTATGTTTTGAATTGAGTTTTGAGAAATGTGTGTAGAATTATAATTTGAAAGCGCAAAACAAACAGTACACTCTCGAAATGTGTTTGAACACCTTTCTAAACACAGCCATGTTTTGCACATGTTCTCTGTGTCTTGTGCTGCAACTTTTTAAAAATTTGCGTCCCCGTGCTCCTTAGGCAATAACTCGAGGTAGCAACAAAAGAAAGAAACTAAAAAACTGTAAAGATGTGGATAAGAAACAATACCCACTACTGCAAGAAGTTTTTTGGATATTACTTGGACAATATGATCCTGCCGAACAGAATACTTCACTACTGCTACCAACATCTGCCCATATATTAGCTCCACCACAAGTATGATTTGGCCGTCCGGGTGGCAGTTGGTAGCGGTATCTGCACACAGAAACCTATCAATTAATATTTTGTGAACACCATAGGTCATTGCATAACAAAGATGAAGTCAATCAATAACTATAAATATCAATTTACGGTTCACATATGCCGGTAGTTTTGTTGAGAGTCGCAAGCGGGCAATAGGAACCCAATGGGCAAGCTTCAAATACAAACAAACAAAACAAAAATCATCCAAATTAGTAACATGAAAACAAATAAAGTTGCTTCTAGTCAGTAAAGAATGAAGTAATTATAGGAAAATACTTACGTATCATGCAAGCAAAACCATGAGGACAGAAAAAACCTTCACAACAAGCCTGACAGTCAAGAGTTCTAGCAGGTATGTCCTTCGAATAACTGTGCCCAAACTCCACATTTGAGCCAGCACTACATGCCCAACCTGGCTCGCAACCGGCAAACCAAGATGTTCGATTGCAGTTCTTGTTAAGCTTTAGATAATTGGTGCTTTCTGATTCCCTTTTAAATAGACTCATGAAGTATAACTTTACTTCTGCTGGTGTACACACAAGCCGTAAAATATCTGCTGTTAAACAAATTGCAACCATCATTAGATGTGAGTGAATATAAAACTACGATGGAATTGGAATGAAAATATCTCCAGTTATCTGATATTTTCCCAGCAGCGAAACTAAATTCCAGATGAAACCCACTTCATACCGTTACTTTTCAGAGCACAAGAAGTCAGGAAGAAGAGAGGAAGTTGGATCACCACCTCTCATATAACTACTAGCACATTAGTTTTAAGATCACAATCAAACATAGAAAAACATTTTCAACAGCAAACATTTTCTGGTGGAGGTGGAGGTGATCCATTGGAAAATGTTTTCGGAAAAACAAATAGAGGGTATTAACAATGAGACTAATCAATATTTTCAACTCAAAATTCATTATCATTAGTTAGCCTAGCTATGTTCATTTTTTGCTACAATAGGAATGTTATGCATTCATCATCCGAAAAGTATTATAGAACAATTTAACTACAGAGGCAGAAAGAATCAATCAAAGTTTCTCTGATACTTCTGAACCTTTTTTCATCCACGTATATAATCAAAGCAAGTTGTTTTAGAAACTTTTCTGATGCAGTTTGTATAGGTATAACCAAGAGTGCAAATTTTGCAACTTACAGACAGCAATGATGGTATGAATATAACCAAATACCCCAAAATCTTCATCACCGGTTTTTGTAAGTGATCCTACGCAGGCACCAGCAAGTAACAAGATGAGAAGATCAACTGCTATTAGTCTAGCTTCTCGTAGTCGCTGCTTGCCAACCCTGAAGATATTGTGGGCATAAAGAACGTCAAGAAACAGGAAAAATGAATCATAAAACAATCAATCCGTAGAACACATAGACTCCCACACTAGACAGCCCACTCCCCATTCCCCACCTATATCTCCATAGATAATACACACCATTGAAATTTACTTTACAAAATCATATTGTCAAATCCCAACCATTTTCTGGAATATGTTGGTTCTATAGAATGACTGACAGGCATAACATTTTTTCAAGTATACTCTTCAGGCACATTTGTTTATAGGATAAAAATGGTGAGATTGGAGGTGGGGGAATATGTGGTACCACACCTACTTTAGTCCTGCGTTTGTTTTGCATGGTATTAAAACTACAGATAATTTTAATAATGATATTGAGGATTAAAAATGGGGGATTAAATAATGCCATAGGTATTGTGATATTAAGGGGATTAGGCTTCTCTAGATTAATTTTCTGCTTCATCCAACTGTAAAAAATAATTGCATCTTTTTATTTCATCCTAATCAAATATAATACCTCACTCTCTCTATCCAATCAATTTATCTCATCTATCAAATTGTTACTTAATATGAGAATAGCATATGCTGAACAAGGTGTAGCATCTGGCCATGATAAAGGGAAGTTGTGTCATACCTTTCTGCATTTGCAATCACAAATGCTTCCAAAGCCCATCTTGGATAGCTCAAGTTTGCTAGTTTCGTCACAAATTTACTCTCTCCAGTCTGAATTGAAATCAGAGCTAAAACTACTAGAATCAGCACCGCACACTATAGAAAGTGGAAGTATATTGTCAGCAAAAAATAAAAACTAATTTATGGAAACTCATATTGAAAAGCTGATGAGCTTTCAATGTGAAATGTTATTGCTCACCAGTTGGGCAGGACCAGGTCCAAGGAAGATGGACAGTGCATAACCTATGCCAGTAACACAGTACACGAGGCACAACAATACAATGTAATTATCAGCAAAAGAAGATCTGGGGTTGCTGATGGAATAGAACATTGAGAGATACACCACAGGCTTTATCACTGTATTAAAATGATCTATTGTTTCCTTGGAAAGAAAATGAGCCAGGCTGCTAATGCCAGAAGCACTCTCCCTCCAATATTGTAACTTGTCCAGAGAAAATGTTCGCAAAGCCGCAATTTTGCATAAAAGAGCTGAAATCAACAGTATGAGGCACAATAAGGAGGACAATCTTGTGCAAGTAGATGGTACTCACAGTTTGTTTCAGTGGAGAATGTTTTAAACATTTTTTTTGTTTTTCCTAGTATTTGGTATAATAGAAAACGGAAGTCAACAAAAACTGATTTTTGTGGTTAGTGGAAAACAAGTTTATTTGGGCAGAAAATGTTTTTCATTCCAAACTAAAGTCTTACCAATGATGCTACACTACCAACTCAATCACTGCCGCCGCTGCTGCTACCACCACCACTACCACAATTCCACCCCCACCCCCCTCCCCCCAACCACCACTATCACCACCTCTCATATAACTACTAGCACATTAGTTTTAAGATCACAATCAAACATAGAAAAACATTTTCAACAGCAAACATTTTCTGGTGGAGGTGGAGGTGATCCATTGGAAAATGTTTTCGGAAAAACAAATAGAGGGTATTAACAATGAGACTAATCAATATTTTCAACTCAAAATTCATTATCATTAGTTAGCCTAGCTATGTTCATTTTTTGCTACAATAGGAATGTTATGCATTCATCATCCGAAAAGTATTATAGAACAATTTAACTACAGAGGCAGAAAGAATCAATCAAAGTTTCTCTGATACTTCTGAACCTTTTTTCATCCACGTATATAATCAAAGCAAGTTGTTTTAGAAACTTTTCTGATGCAGTTTGTATAGGTATAACCAAGAGTGCAAATTTTGCAACTTACAGACAGCAATGATGGTATGAATATAACCAAATACCCCAAAATCTTCATCACCGGTTTTTGTAAGTGATCCTACGCAGGCACCAGCAAGTAACAAGATGAGAAGATCAACTGCTATTAGTCTAGCTTCTCGTAGTCGCTGCTTGCCAACCCTGAAGATATTGTGGGCATAAAGAACGTCAAGAAACAGGAAAAATGAATCATAAAACAATCAATCCGTAGAACACATAGACTCCCACACTAGACAGCCCACTCCCCATTCCCCACCTATATCTCCATAGATAATACACACCATTGAAATTTACTTTACAAAATCATATTGTCAAATCCCAACCATTTTCTGGAATATGTTGGTTCTATAGAATGACTGACAGGCATAACATTTTTTCAAGTATACTCTTCAGGCACATTTGTTTATAGGATAAAAATGGTGAGATTGGAGGTGGGGGAATATGTGGTACCACACCTATTTTAGTCCTGCGTTTGTTTTGCATGGTATTAAAACTACAGATAATTTTAATAATGATATTGAGGATTAAAAATGGGGGATTAAATAATGCCATAGGTATTGTGATATTAAGGGGATTAGGCTTCTCTAGATTAATTTTCTGCTTCATCCAACTGTAAAAAATAATTGCATCTTTTTATTTCATCCTAATCAAATATAATACCTCACTCTCTCTATCCAATCAATTTATCTCATCTATTAATGCCATGTTATTATTTATCCTTCATAATTCTATCCATAATCCTATCATATATCCAAATCACATGGTATAACTTATCCCTCATAATCCTCAATAATCCCATCCCATCAAATCTAATCCCATAAAAAATAATCCGACAATCAAACGTGGCCAGAAATTGCATGAGAAATTTTTTTGTATCATTTGACCCAACCTAGAAATTCAATCTGAGAAACATAAGTATAATATGTACTGTTTGAAGGAACCCACAAAAAGAGAAGTTGAAAAGAAATATAAAAATAGAAGAGATTCTTAAATATATACCTCCCAAGAAAGTATTTATATTGCATCAGAACACCTGGAGTTCTCCGATTGGACAAGTCCCTAGACCTCAAGATATTGTGCTGTATGATATCCCAGTGAAGCTCCAGAGTACATATCATATCCTTCCATATTTCTCCAGCAAGAGATTGTTCCTTATTTTCAGCATCAACAGAGCTTTTTTGATTGTCTAGATTTACTCCTGTGGATGACATAACAAGTCCAGCACAATCCTGCTGCATATCTGGGGGTACTGGATAACCCTTATGAAGCATCCATCTCATCGGAAGCTCTCTGTAATTTATGCTCAAACTTGTGATCGGCTTAACTATGTCCTCCAGAACGTCAATAAAATGGTCTGTAGGATTCATATGCTCTGGTACATTGATCCCAAGGCCTGCAAAATACTCTTCAACTTTGCTTACCGGTCCATGATACACAGTAAGGCCGCCTTTTAGAAGTATTAAATCATCAAACATCTTGAACAAGGTGTAGCTGAAACAAGAATTTACCAGTACCAAGTAAGATAAAAGAAGTAATTCCTCAAGTAGCTACAGTGACACAATACCCTAAATTTTCTAACGAGTAAATTGAACTTTCCTAGTTAGGATTGTGGCACCTGTAAACCATCTTGGTTGTTCAAGAGTCCACCATTTCAGCAATTTAAGTATTCTAGTAGATCTTCTTGTGGTTATAAAATCCATTTTAGTCCATGACATACTAATCTTGTTGCTATAAATAAAAAGATAATTTAGATGGCTTTCTTATTCCAAAAGAGTTAATTACACTAATGGTCCCCAAAGTATACGTTCTGTTACACTCTAGTCCCCAAACTTTTAATTATTTCGCTTTGGCCCCTAAGTTTGCAATCTATTACACTTTAATTCTTTATGTAAGAGCCGTTCAAAATCAGTAATGGGAGGAGGGGTATTTTTGAAATCTTACAAGAAACCTCAACAAAGTAATAATGGCCAAACACACACATGGTCTAAAAGTATGCATTTTGTAGCATTTTCGTTTATAAAATATGTATTTGGTTTTATTTAGTCTGTAAAGTATACATTTTTTTTTTTTTTTTTTTTTTGTTAATTTGTAATTTAGATTGAACTTTTTATATGGTGGAGATATATTTTACCGTTATTGATTTTGAACTATACTGACCTAGGGAAAACTTTAGGGACCAAAGTAAAACAATTAAAAGATTGGAGACTAAAGTGTAACATAACACATACTTTAGAGACCATTTATGTAATTAACCGAGAAAAAAAATGCTAGGAGGATGAACTTTGGTTGTCCTCATAAGTCCTATGAGCTTACCAAATTAAACAAAGTTTTGTTTCTCACTGAAGTGGGGTCGGTCACATGAATCATTTTTCACCACTTTGCTCTGTCAAGGGCTATATGCTCAATTAAGCATAATCATATTAGGATTTATATTCATTAGGGATCTGACTGGAATTTTTACGTGTTGGCTGCCAAGCTACTTAGCACCCTCCTTATCTGGGCTTGGGATCAGCTGTGTAAAAGATTAAACACGAAGCATGACACACAAGGAGTTTCCTATGAGCTTAATGCATGAAATAATTTCTTGAAGCCCGCAAGGTAATCCTTGTAATGACAAAGCTTTCAAATTGAACAATTAAAATGGTCCCAGTCTCCCAAGTTATGTGAGTAGATAACCAAATATAAACAGAAAGAGAATGAGATAACAGAATTCCATAATACGTATTGGGAAAGCAATTTTCACCTAGGTTGGTGGACAACCATGCAGATGTTGACCCCTTCAAGAGCTTCACGTCGAAGTGCTCTCAGAAGTAGCTGGGAAGTAGAACTATCCAAACCAGAAGTAGGTTCATCTAAGATCAAAAGTGATGGTTCCATTACCAACTCCAGGCCAACATTTACTCGCTTCCTTTCGCCTCCTGATATTCGTCGCTTCTCTACTGTTCCAACCAAGGAATCACGCACTGCTTGCAACCCCAACGACTCGATAACTCTTTCAACAATTAGAACCTTATCTGGCTTCGACAAGTCTGCAGATAGTCTTCAATGATTGGGAAAAAACAAGAGCAGTAAATAGAAAAGTATAGATGGTAGTGATTGCATTATGTATAACAAAATATATCTGAACAAGAACACAGGCAAACAAAAGGATAACAAGCAAGAACATTTTTATTAGCTAAATACTTTGTGAGTCCATATGAAACCCACAAGGGATGTTACAAATAAAATTAAAATTTCCAGATTTCTCACCAATTCAAAAGTCCAGATGGTGATTAGTTTGAATAGGCAAAAATTTTTGTACTCACAAATGTGAAGTAGAAATTAATCAGTGGCCAAGTATTGAAAATGACTTAAAAAGGATAAAAAAAAAAGGTGTCAATGTCCAAGAAACATCACTTTCCAACTTAAAATGAATCGATTTTGAACATTTCATAATAAATTACAGTTAGAAATTAGAATCTGTAAGAGAACTCAATCTGACATACCTGCACCTAGCACTGAACCAGAGATTCTCCTCCACTGTCAAATTTCCATGCACAATATCATCCTGTGGCACAAATCCAATGATTTTTCTGTATGAATGGATTGATTCAGGTTTTCCGTTGATAAGAATTAAACCAGTCATCTTGCATCCAACTGTTTTTCCCGCCAGAGCAGAAATGAGTGTTGTTTTCCCAGCTCCAGATGTGCCCATTACAGCAGTAATGTGGCCAGGCATTATTTTCCCAGTAACACACCTTAAAAGATGTTTGTTTTTTCTTTTCAAAGTAAGAGAAAGGTCTCTGAAGGAAACCTCAATCATGGGCCTTTTCCTGATTTCCTGACTAGTAGCCATTGAAATTAATCCTGAGAAGGTAAGGTTCTTATTCTGCTGCAGGTGCAGCAAAGCTTTCTCTTTCTCTAGTTGAGCATATGCATACTGGAAAATCTCACTGTGAGTACGAATTTGTTTTTCATTTTTCATTTTCCTGTCTGTATTTTTATCTCCAAGCTCTAAACTGAAAGCATTGCAACTACCAGGGTCATCTTCGACTGCATGGGAAGATTGCTCAGGCGAGTTCAAAGCAGTTATATACAAAGATGAATCTAGATCATCATCTGTCTTAGCTTTAGTTTGACTCAAGCTCTCAAGTGCCTGAGGATGTATCACAGTTTTTTTACAAGAAGCCAGAGATAATTGACTTGGTGATGCAATTTTGGGCTTCTTAGCAGCATTTTTAGCAGATTTGTACTTATCGCGTGCCTGTGCTTTCTCCCTCGCACTTCTAGCTGCTGCTTTCCTGGCTTTGGCATTTCTCATTTCCCGAATGGTGAGAACTTGGTCGTAACAGTTGTAAATAGTAAGCAGGAGAGTACTTAAAGCAGCCTGCATTACAAGTAATGGGCGTTAATATCTAAAATTAGCTTTGATAGATGAAAGAGATATACACATGGTAGGCAGGAATGTATTTACAGAAGATAACAAGACGCATCTTAGATAGACTTTCAGGAAAGGTTCTTCGATGGTTCTGGAATTAATTATAGTACTGGTAGACTTTCAGGAAAGGTTCTTCGATAAAATAGATGGTATTAAGACTTACTGCTAAATCCTATGGCTATTACCTCAAACTAACAAACCATATAATTATGAAAAGCAATAAAACCAAGGTTGTTAAAATCGGGATCTTATGTTAGATCGTTGGAAGTGTTTATAGGATCGGATCGTAAAATTGGATCAAGGATCGTAAGATTCTACCGAAAAAGACAAATTACTTAATAATTTAATTTAAATAAATATTTCTTAAAAAGTATACACAAAATGAGCCTATATTCTATTAAAAAGAAGTGAAGATATTGTGTAAAATATAATAATCTATGTAAAATGTACATATAATATTATATAATAGAAATTCGATGGTAAAATTTTTGTATTTCATCAAAAAAGAAGGTAAAGAAGAACAATTATATAACAAAATATTTTACAATCTACAATAATACATAAAAAGTAAAGAAAAATATTTAACAAAGTTGGATATTAAAATAGATTAAGAACTCAAAAGAGTTGCTTAATGGAATGATAAGATTTGTCGTTAGCATTCCTGGTGGAGCGGATTCAAGTCACAAAAATAATCTCTCCAAAAATTAGGATAAAGTTGCAATCATCTTACACTGCTTAGACTTTGCTAAAGCTGAGTTTGTTTTTCCGACCAGTTAATTTTCTAAAATTACCACAATATTTGAATGTTTGTTTCCTAATTTGTTTTTTCTTAGTCTATTTAATTTAATACTACTTAATTTTTATTATTTGGTATTTAGACAATAAAAATAAAATTTACAATAAAATATGTTAAACAATACAAAACAAGACTTGTAAATTGGATCGGATTCGGATCAGGATTCCACGATTCTATAGGATCCCATTACTAGGATCGAAAGATCCTACCTATAAGGAATTTTTTATATAATCCGGATCGATTGTACTCAAATGGATAGTAAGATCTGGATCGGGATTCTGATAACCATGAATAAAACTAGTGAAAAATGAGAGGGTAAACTACCAATAGGTCCTAATAGTTACATTTAATTCCCATAAAGTCTTATTAAAAATAAGTCATAGTAAAATCATTGTTAAAAAAAAAATTTTGTGATGATTTTTTGCATGTCGCTAAAAAATGACAATTAGTGAGTTTTTTGTCACGATTTTTATAAATTGTCGCTAAAACTTACAATTAGTGACATTTTTCTATGTTGAATTTGTTAAATTGTTGCTGAAAATTGAAATTTAATGAGGTTTTTTTGTGATGATTTTTTTAAACTGATTTTTGTGACAATTTTTAAACTGTCACTAAAAATTAACAATTAGTGACTTTTTTAATAGTATTTGATGAAAAACGTCATTATTTATCACAGGACCTATTAGATAATAAGTTTACCTATTAAGACCTACACATAAATCTCCCATTACTTTGCTACTACGGAAATTTTCTATAAAAACAATTGCAAGCCAAAATATATGTATTTTTTGTCCTCTTTAAGAAACCGAAATTATTTGTGATGTGTACCTAGTGTTGGACACAGACAACATATCAAGTTAATGGTTGGAGTGTATAGAACAACTTACTATTAGTATAATGCCATATGCATGAATATCCTGATTCGCAGTATTGGGATCACATGAAGACAATTTGAAGCACCCTACAAGTTTATCATTAAGAGTCAGACAGCTTGGAACCAGCAGTAGAGGGTTGATAAAAAATCTAGGCCGTAGGGAAATGATTGTATGGATTATACAATATGTCTAGCAATAACTCGTACTTCAGCAAGGAACTTACGTTTCTCAGAAATAGAACCCTTCCTGCAGTAATGCCTACATTGCAAAAGAATAGAAAATTCAAAATTGACAAAGGGTGGCAAGCAACAATTATATAAATGTCAACCAGTCAAATAAACAAAGAGGGAGAGACACCGCGTTTCACTCTATCAACATCTAATAATTTTGATGTCCTTGAATCATGTGATATGGGAGAGTTGGGGAATGGAGAATTAAATCAAGAGTTGTTGTGTCAAACGAAGAGCCTAAAAAGTAGAGGGAGTCCATCTCCAAGTGATCCTATTAATGGGGAGACTACAAAGGAAGATAACAGAAGAAAACTCAAAGCGAAACTTCAATACTTGAAGAGTGCTAGAGGGAAATTTTGAATCATTTGTTGTGTATGTTGTGTTTGTCGTCTATAGGCTTAGTTTGTTTCTTTTGAGGGAGTAGTTTGTTTTTGTTTATGTTTATTCTCCCTACAAAAGGTGTGTATTGAACTTCATTGTACATCTTTCTTTTTTGGTTATAATATGACTTGCTTATCCAAAAAAACAAGTCAAATATGTTGGGCACAAATCATATCCTAATATATCTACATTGTTTGGTCTAAACATGGTATAACAATGACCCATGAAGCACATACGCCTTTCTAGAGGTCACGTAGTAGTGTCCGAAACATGTTGGACACGGACATGCGGAGGACGAGTTGGACACGCTTGAGGAAATGTCGCATTTTTTTTTCAATTGGACACACTAGTAACATAGTGGGAACACGTGGTATCCCATTTTCTAATTTATTTTTTGGGGAAATTACCCATAGGTCCCATGTAGAACATGTGGACACCATTTAATCCCATAACTTTTTGGGTACACCCAAAAGTCCTTTCCTCCATCTCTCTGGTTTTTTCCTCCCTTTTTACGTTTTCTTCTTTCTTTTTTTTTCTACATTTTTCTCTCATCGTCTTCGTCATAGACGATGGTGCAAGTGCTCATGTCTTTTTCCATTAATCGGGGTTCACTGATAACCGCCAACCATCGAAATCAACTCGTGATTTCACTCTCACCGACGGCGAAGATATATATTTCCGACGAAGAAGATGAGTGGATCTACTTAGATCTGATGTAGATTTACTCAGATCTATCAGATCTGAGTAGATCTACATCAGATTTGGCTAGATCTAAAGAAAAAATAGTTGTCGGAGTATAATCCTCTCTCTACATCCGCCTTTCTCCTTCGATCTCTTTTTTTTTTCTCTGCTATACACTTCTGTTTTTCTGTTCTAATAGAGAAAATTTTCGAATTCTGAATAAGTAGTTTTCGAGTTTTAGTTACAGGCGGTGAAAACTGTAAAATTTTGCAGTTTCAAAATTTTTTTTTGGTGCTGGAATGAATCATGGTTTAAAACTGTAAAATTTTGCAGTTTTATAACATTCTTTAGAACTGTAAAATTTTACAGTTTCATAACATATTTTTAATTTTTTTTTTCCCGGCAATATTCTAGACATTCCGGTGAGTCTTCGGCGACCGTTAAATGGAAGTCCGACGGTAGTAAGATGTGAACAGTGTCCGTAAATTAAAAAAAAAAAAAATTTTTTGGTAGCAATTAAAAATGTATTGGACTAATTGGTGCAAGTGTTTTGTTTTGGGATTAGCTGGATCTTGAACTTGGTACATGGGACTTACCAGTAAGTTCCTCTTATTTTTTTACTGAAGTAGCATGCTCAAGATTGATGAATTTGATGAGAATAAATATTTGACATAAAAATAAATATATAATATAAAAATATAAAAATCTATGGTAGTGTTTAGTACAGTTTTAGAATTAAGATTTGCAAATATAGTTGTATTTTGAGTTTGTTAATTTTGAAATTATGATTTGAGTATAGAAAATTTGTTTGGTTGTGAGTTTTGAAAAGAATTTTGAATTAAGTTTGAAATGAATGATGTGACATATAATATTTGATTCAAAAATTTACAACTCATAATTAAACATACAATTCAAAATTCTATTTAAAACTCATAAAAAAAAATTAAAAAATTAAACAATATTTTTTATTTAAAATATAAAAATAACAGGTGTAAAAAAAAAAAAACCGAACACTGTTCAGGTCAACCAGACGGAGGTCTGGGAGGACGACCGGATTAGCCAAATTTTCACGCTAAATAAGGAGTATTCAAAAGTGAGTGTGGAATTATAATTTGAAAGCGCAAAACAAACAATACACTCTCGAAATGTGTTTGAACACCTTTCTAAACACAGCCATGTTTTGCACATGTTCTCTGTGTCTTGTGCTGCAACTTTTTAAAAATTTGCGTCCCCGTGCTCCTTAGGCAATAACTCGAGGTAGCAACAAAAGAAAGAAACTAAAAAACTGTAAAGATGTGGATAAGAAACAATACCCACTACTGCAAGAAGTTTTTTGGATATTACTCGGACAATATGATCCTGCCGAACAGAATACTTCACTACTGCTACCAACATCTGCCCATATATTAGCTCCACCACAAGTATGATTTGGCCGTCCGGGTGGCAGTTGGTAGCGGTATCTGCACACAGAAACCTATCAATTAATATTTTGTGAACACCATAGGTCATTGCATAACAAAGATGAAGTCAATCAATAACTATAAATATCAATTTACGGTTCACATATGCCGGTAGTTTTGTTGAGAGTCGCAAGCGGGCAATAGGAACCCAATGGGCAAGCTTCAAATACAAACAAACAAAACAAAAATCATCCAAATTACTGACATGAAAACAAATAAAGTTGCTTCTAGTCAGTAAAGAATGAAGTAATTATAGGAAAATACTTACGTATCATGCAAGCAAAACCATGAGGACAGAAAAAACCTTCACAACAAGCCTGACAGTCAAGAGTTCTAGCAGGTATGTCCTTCGAATAACTGTGCCCAAACTCCACATTTGAGCCAGCACTACATGCCCAACCTGGCTCGCAACCGGCAAACCAAGATGTTCGATTGCAGTTCTTGTTAAGCTTTAGATAATTGGTGCTATCTGATTCCCTTTTAAATAAACTCATGAAGTATAACTTTACTTCTGCTGGTGTACACACATGCCGCAAAATATCTGCTGTCAAACAAATTGCTACCATCATTAGATGTGAGTGAATATATAACTATGATGGAATTGGAATGAAAATATCTCCATTTATTTGATGTTTTCCCAGCAGCGAAACTAAATTCCAGATGAAACCCACTTCATACCGTTACTTTTCAGAGCACAAGAAGTCAGGAAGGTCAAATTAGAAGAAAAATTGAACGTTTGGTCCCAATCAAAAACCCTGAAAAGATAAAATCCGAAAGTGTTAAGTAACTGAACTAACATATACAAATTAGAAGTGTACATGGATCGGATTTGATCAGGTTTTAGAGTAAATCAGGAACCGAACCGATTCCTACGATTCCAGCAAAAAATGAAACTGGAATCAAACTGTTAAACCTATGGAAACGGATGATAACCGACTTATAAAAACCGATTTGGTTCGGTTCAGTTCAGTTTTGAGGTATGATATGTATTTTATGTTAGTTAACAAACTAATAATAATTAATTTGGTTAAGTTGCTTAGAATTTATCAATTCCACAATAAAAACGAGTGTTCAAATCTTATAACTATTAGCTTGTTTAAGTTGCTTAGAATTTATCAATTCCCCAATAAAAACTAGTGTTCAAATCTTATAATTATTAGCTTGTTTAAGTTGTTTAGAATTTATCAATTCCCAATAAAAACTAGTGTTCAAATCTTATAATTATTAGCTTGTTTAAGTTGCTTAGAATTTATCAATTTTATCATGAAAATGAAAACTAATGTTCAACCCTTATAAGAAACTTTTTATAAAGTTTTAAAACCGAAATAATTTTCAAAAACAGAACAAAAAATGAAACTAATAAAAATCAAACCAAACGCGCAAAGTGGACCAATTTACCGGTTCCACTGGTATTTTTAACACCCCTAATAGAAACCACAATAATAATTTGACTATCCCTGTATTTTCTCAGGAACCAAATAGGGGATAATACTATTTGGTTTGAGTTTTTTGAATTAAGTTTTTTGAAAATTGAGTTTTTTATTTTCGTATTTTTTTTATTTTTAGTGAATATTTTTAAAATTTTAAACATTTTTTTTTTACGTTTTTAGATGCACCTTACTTAGATGTATTTAAAAAGTAAAAAATTTGTGAAAAAATATTTTTAAAAATTAATAAATACATAAAAATACAAAAAAATGTACTGAATTCTCGTATTTTTTTTTTTGTGTTTTTGGTATTTAGTGAATTTTAAAAGGTTTTTTTCAATTTTTTTTTACTTTTTAGATATATTTATGTTAAGTATGTCTAAAAATTAAAAAAATTGCTTAAAATATTTAAAAAATTCAATAAAAATAAAAAAATACGAAAAATAAGAAAATATAATTTTCTAAAAAGTGTTTTTAAAAAATAATAACCAAGCATGGTGAATAGGAACAATAACTTACGGATCCCTGATGCAGAAGCTAGCAGTGTCGGCGATATCGTTTCTGAGTAGCGAGAAAGTGATATTCGAGAGCTGATTGTAGAAAATTTGAGCGTGCAACGGACCAAACAAATCGGTGAAGTTGTTGTGGCACTGTACAGAACTGAACAACAACAACACAACAAAGGCAGATACGCATTGGGTTCTTCTCATAATCATATTTAGAAGAGAGAAATCGTCCAACACTTGGTGTGCGAGAATGTGAAGGCTGAAGAAACAGAGGTAGATGTTGCCAAGCCATTGAATTTGAACGATGTTGAAGAAGACGTAGAGGTAGTTGGTGGGTGGGACCATGAGGTGAGAGAGAGTAGCCCTAAATCGTAACGACTTGCTGGGACGACGGTTACAATGCGCGCCAAAAACACGAGTGAATTTGCTTCGTGTTTTGCGTGCAAAACAGAGAAAAGCAATGGTGATTTTTACCAGATTGTGAATTCAACTCTTCTTCTTGTCGCGGACGACTGCACTTTTTGTTCTCCACAGTGTCCATCTGATGTGTCATAATCATTAATAATTTTCATACACAACATTAATAGTACGTGGGTCGCATGTGGATCTCACCCGTCATTTGGGTCTTATGTGGATCTCATACATATTTGATAAAAAATTTGATAAAATTTATAGTATTTTTGAAATTATATTTCAATAGTGTTACATATATTAATTGATATACTAAGTAGTATATTAATATATATTATGATATTATTATTGACTCCACATATTATAAAAATTATAAATATTCAAAACCTTTAAAATTATATTATATCATCTGTTCGTACACTAATTAGTATACCAATTGATACATATTACATTATTCATTATATTTTGGAACGTACAAGACAATCCAATCTGGCCCATTGAGCCTACATTTTGGGTCCTGTTTTGATGATCTAAATTATTCACATCTTAAGATTTGTTAAGTATATCATCATGCAAAAAATGAAATCAATCAGATAACAATAACACCGGACTGGAGAGAAGTCAATCCCTTATACTTTTTATCCATTAATGTTTGGTTATTTTCTTACTTTGATTCTTGAAGGGGAAAAAAAAATCTCATTTTAATTCTCATATGTTTTAAGTTTTTTTCAATTTACTTTAAAATTAACTTATATTTAAAATTAAACAACAAATTACAACATGGTATGAAAAATATATTATTATATTAAGGTTTAGGTTTATAGAAGAGATGTGAGTTATATATAATAAAACATTTTTAAATTATGTGGCTATTAATGTGTCATTTTTATCTAATTTTGGACATAAGCCAGATTTTGAAGTAAATTGGAAAAAAATTAAAATGTAAAAAGTCAAAGTGAGAAAAGTAAATTTTTAAGAGCTGAAAAAATGGCTAAATGTCACTACAGAAAAAAGCACATTTGGCGACTAAATTTCCCGACTAAAAAAAATTTGGTCGGTGAAAGTATAGCTTTTGGCGACTAAAAAAGCATTAGTAGCCAAAAGTAAAGATTTTTGGCGACTAAAAAAATTTAGTAGCCAAAAGTATAGTAATTGGCGACTAAAAATCTGTTTGGTCGCCGATATATGGCTTTTACCTACTAGAAAAATTTTAGTAGCCAAAAGTTAGGCCTTTTGGCGACTAAAAAAAATTAGTAGCAAAAAGTGAGGCATTCAGCGACTAAATTGATGTTTGGTGGCCAAAAGTGAGACTTTTACCGACTAAAAAAATTTTGGTAGCCAAAAGTTAGGTCCTTTGGCGACTAAAAAAATCTAGTAGCTAAAAGTGAGGCCTTTACCGACTAAAAAATTTTTAGTAGCCAAAAGTGAGGGTTTTTGGCGACTAAAAATAATTTAGTAGCCAAAAGTGAGGCATTCGGCGACTAAAAAGAAGTTTAGTTGCCAAAAGTAGTAATTTTAGAGCGGGAATTTTATTTTTAACGACTAAAAAATTATTAGTAACCAAAAGTATAGAATTGATGACTAAAATTATGTATAGTCGCCAAAAGTGGTCTCTTTCTTTCTCTAATAAATAATTTATTTTTACATAAATTATGTTCAATAAAAAATAATTATCTTTATATATATACTTTTATATTAATACGAGTATATGTACTATATAAATAATATATGTTGCATATATAATCATATGGTGTTATAGAGGCGTAGTGGAAAGAGGGTGTTGTAAAAGGTTTATAATGTGGGAGGTTGATGGTTCGAATCTCTACAAGAGTAGAGTGTAAATTTTTTTTTCACGAAATCACTTTTGGCGACTAAAAGGTTTGGTCGCCGATTTCTTGAGTATTGGCGACTAAAACATTGGTCGGTAAATGTATAATTTCAAAAAAATATAATTGACTATTGGCTACCAATAATTTATTAGCCAAACATTGGCCCTTTGCCGACCAACTAAAAAGTAGGTTTTGCCAACTAAATAAAATAATAGCCAAATGTTTCACTTTCAGCGACCAAACACATGTTTAGTCGCTAAAACATTCGTCGACATGGTTTAGGTGACTAAGTTGGCGACAAAAAAAATTAGTCGCTAATTGGTTTTGGCGACTAAAAAAGTGATCTTTGGCGACTAATATTTTGGTCGGCGAAACTGTTATTTCTTGTAGTGTGTAAAGGGATACTAAAAAAACAAATTGAGCTAGCTCCATTCCAATTATTGAACTGGATGGTGTTGTTCACGTCATTGAAGCTCTCTGCATGTTTTATTTTGATTATTTGGGCCATTCGTTTTTTAGGTTAGTTTATGTAAATTATTCACAGAAAAATAAGAAAGATCCGACATAATTGTATAAAATAAATGACATGAAAGATTTGAAAATAAACCTTACGTTTTTTGATAAATATATGTGATAAAATTATGTAGTTATATATCGGATTAACTTGATTTTGTGTGTAGATGATCTATGAATGAATGGCTCAAATGATTGAAACAAGACCCACAGTAGGTCTCACAGACCCAAATAGCATTGTCCAAACCCGAATAGCATTGTCCAATTCAATATAACCTATTTTCAAAAATTAAGTGTGATGCACAACTCACTAATTTTAAATTTATACCATACATTTAGAACGATTTAGAATAAATTTTTATAGTTTATCACATTTTTTTCCAATAAATATTTTTTTATCAATTTTTTTTACTAACTTGTGGCATTTATCATATATTATTGAGTTGAACTTATTTAAAATTTTATTATTATATGTTACAATAACAAATAATAAAAAAAATATTATAATTTGTTAATTTCAACGATGTTTTCTCACACATATATATATATATATATATATACTAGCGTATGCGCGTACCTGAAGGTACGGTGTAAATAATGTTAGGATTAGAATATAATTGTAATCCCAACACTATTTAAATTTATTTTTTAATTTGATAAAATCACAAATTTATTATAAAATTTTGGAAATCTCACAAAACTCCTCATGAAAACTATCTTTTGCATATATAATATATAGCTAGATATGCTTGGCATACATACAATTTCCACAGACATACATATAATATTATTTTTGCTTATATAATTATATGAAAATTGTATGTATGCCCATAATGTCCTAGTATATTACAGGTATACATACATTCTATGAAAATATGTGTAACATATATTAAACGAAAAGGAGAAAATAAACAAATAAACAAGGGCAAATTACATTAACAGTCCTTATAGTTTGGGACTCGTGTCATTTTGATTCCTGACTTTTTAATTGTGACACATTTGACCCTGAATTTTGAATTTTGTTCCAAATAAAGACAATTGAAGACACCATTGTTTAATTTTAAGGGCAAAATCGTCAATTTAATAAAATATAAACTAATTTGACAAAAATAAATGTCAAAAAAATATTTTTAATTTTTTAAAAATTATTTTATCCACCAATGAAAAAATTATGTAAAATTGATAAAAATTACATGATTAATTTTTAAAAATTAATTTTACGTGATCATCATCCAAACACATAATAAAAATTAATTTGGTAAAATAAATAAATAAATGTCTAAAAGATGTATCAATTTTACGTAATTTTATTTTTAATAGGTAGAAATAATTTTTTAAAATTCAAAAATATTTGTTTGACATTTATTTTTGTCAAATTAATTTATATTTTATCAAATTGATAATTTTACCCTTGAAAAATCTAATGATATCTTCAATTGTCCTTATTTGGAACAAGATTCAAAATTCAGGGTCAAATGTGTCGCAATTGAAAAGTCGGGACCAAAGTGACACAAGCCCCAAACTATAGGGACTATTAGTGTAATTCACCCAATAAACAAATAGAGAGAAAAATAAAAACATGAGAAAATAAAAATAAATAAAAATAAAATAGAGAGAAAGGTGGGATCATGGGATCATGGAAGGATGAGTGAGAAAATGAAAAAGCACAAGAGAGAAAAGCAGGGAAGTATAAAATGTATATATGGGATATTTTTTAAGAAAATATATCTCAGCCATTGTTTTATAATTTGAACAGATTTGAGCCATCCAAATGTCCTAATAGGACAAAAATATGTTGAAGACTCAAAAATCGTCCTGCTTTATTAAAATATGTTGAAGATTCATATAAGGTCTAAATTTATGAAGTCTATCAGGTATTCAATATATTTAAAAATAATAATTAATTGTTTAAATTCATTTAATTTGTGGACTATAAAATTCATTAATTTAATTTCTACTATACACAGTAAAATCTGGCTTCTAATTCTGGGATTGTAGACATTTCCATGTAATATGAATAAAAATAAGTGAAAAAAAAAGAGAAAATAAAAAAATAAAAAAAAACAAATAGAGAGAAAATAAAAATGGGAGAAAATAAAAAAATAAAATAAAAGAGAGAGGAATGTGGGATCATGGGATCATGGAAGGATGGGTGAGAAAAGGAAAAAGTAAGAGAGAGAAATGGGAAAATAGAAAATGTACATGTAGGATATTTTTTTCAAAATATAACTCAGTCATTGTTTTATAATTTGAATAGATCTAAACAATCCAAATGTCCTAGTAGGATAAATGCGTGTAGGACACATTCAAAAACCATCCTGCTTTATTATATCGATATGGAAATTGTATGTATGCCCATAATGTCCTGGTGTATTATGGGCATACTTCCATTCTACGAAAATATGTGTAAAATAAGTGAACAAAAATAAATATATATATATATATATATATACAAATAGAGAGAAAAATAAAAATGAGAGAAAATAAAAAAATAAAAATAAAAGAGAGGAAGTTGGATTTATGGGATCATAGAAAGATGAGTGAGAAAAGGAAAAAGTAAGAGGGAGAAGTGGGAAAATAAAAAATGTACATGTAGGATATTTTTTGAAAAATATATCTCAGCCGTTGTTTTATAATTTGAATAAGTCTAAGCCATCCAAACGTCCTAGTAGGACAAATTCAAAAACCATCTTACTTTATTATATAGATGTTGAAGATTCATGTAATGTCTAAATTTATGAAGTCTATCAGGTATTCAATATATTTAAAAATAATAATTAATTGCTCAAATTCATTTAATTTGTGGACTACAAAATTCATTAATTTAATTTCCACTACATAC